TCAATGTTTGTTTGAAGTAAAGAGTCTATTATAACTCCATTAGAACAGAATTGCTTGTGGCATCAAATTACTGTGGGAAACCAGTTCATGCTCCGCCTTCCCATACACACATTGCTAAGACCCCGTAGAGAATCCATTAGTGGGACCCAGAGTCACACCAGCCTATAATTTTTCTTTGCCTTAGGAAAACAGTAGCCTGTAATTTTTCTTTGCCTGAGGTTTTAAAAGGGCTGTCCCTGGCTGAGTCTCATGTATGCTATTGTAGCCCCAAATCCAACTCATATACCAGTTACCGTCTGTATACTTTCTGAAGAAAAGAAGACCCAATGGAAACAGCCCTTCTTGTTTTGTAGTTTGTCTGTGAGCAAAGACATTCTTTTTATCTGAGCTCTCTTTCTTTATTTTTCATTGTAAGTTTGGTTTTAAGCTTATAAAGAATCTCAATTACAGTCGTCCCTCAGTATCCATAGGGATTGGTTCCAGGACTCTCCAAGTATACCAAAATCCACAGATATCAAATCTCTGAGATAAAGTGGCATTGTATTTGCATATAATCGACACACATCTTTCTGCATACTTAAATCATCTCTAAATTACTTATAATAACTAATACAATGTAAATGCTATGTAAACAGTTATACTGTATTGTTTAGGGAATAATGTCAAGAAAAAAAGTTGCACATGTTCAGTACGGATGCAATTTTTTGTCTAAATATTTTTATCTGAGGTTGATTGAATCTACAGATGTGGCACCCAAAGATACGGAGAGCTGACAGCACTTAGGTTTAGTTTAATATTAGATGTTTTCTGTCATCAAAACTTTTCATGTAATTTTGTAAGCTTTATGCCAATGATATAGAAATTTAACCGCAGTGTGTTAAAACAGGTTCTATGTCATTATAGAAAGCCATGTTTAAATGATCATGTTATGATATTCAAATACATTATACTGAAGCATATAAGTTTGATGTTACTTTAAAAGACAGCATTTATCTATTATATTTATGAACACAAAAGGTTAAAATGATGATTAGAGTAGGTCAAACATGGATTATGTTTACTCAAATACACAATAAGTACTTGCTTGTTATTAGCGGAAAAAATAGATACACATCGTAGACAAGGAGACTCTATAAAGGCACACTTTTAATTTAATAACACTTACTTCCCTAAAATCTAATTTCAAGTTCATGAGTAGAATGTCTGAATGCCATGTTCAAGTTCATGAGTAGTGTAACTGAAATCTCCTCTGGGTTAATTTTTGAAGAGCACTGGACTAATGATAAAGCAGCAATGTCTTCCCAAGTGGAATTTTTGACATATTTTTTGGATACTTTAATTTTCCACAGTGTTCCTTTTTTTCTTCTCTAATGACTCACATTCTTTGAGAGGACAGGAGTTTGTTACTTAAAAAAGGAGGAAGTATCACAAAATACACTGTTTTGTGTATAGAAGTAGTACTTGTTAAGTAAATCAGATTTCACCTCCTGGGACCTTTAAACGTTGGATGACTGCCTTTTTTGACCAATTGGTATTGCCATCCAGGAAGGAAGTCCTGATATATAGTAAGAGGCTCTCATGAAGAATCAGCAAAGAACAGAGGCAATGAATAGCGGCTGTATCCGATTTACCATCTGCCAATGAATAGTTAATAATTGGCAGCATGTGGTATAGCTCATCATGCCATTATTCTTGAACTACACCTTTCTCTTTACCCTAACTGTAGGTTCTCATCCTTTGCTCACTTATTCTCAGCATTCTTTCCTATCTCCATCTCAGATTTCCAATCTGTAAAAAACAGGACATCTTAGAACTTGGTTATGGGATCATTTCTTTTCTCTATATACCAACAAAGTCTTCCCATGGTTTTAAATATCATCTTTATGCTAATAACTTTCAGGTTCAAAACCCACTCTTACTTCTCCTTGAAATATATCCACTGTTTACTCATACCCAATTATGTTTTTGACACCAATTCTTAAATGCTTAAAAGACATCTCAAAATTAACTTTGAAAAACTAAACTCTTGATTCTTCTCCCCTTATTCTTGTTTTTCCCTTATTTGCACTGTATCAATAAATAGAATTCCACTCTTCCAACAGTTTAGGCCAAAAGTTTTTAAGTCTTCCTTGTTACCTCCCCATCTTTCACACCCCGGATTTGATCTATTAACAAACTACATTGGTTTTTACTTCAAAATACTTTGAGAATCTAACAATTTTTCACCAATATCGGCCCCTAGTCCAAGCCAAAATTGGTTTTTGCCTGGATATTGAAGTTATCTGCAATTATCATCCTTGCTTACCTTACTACTGTCTATTTCCCACAACAACGCTCAGATTATCACTTTTCAGCTCAATATTTCCCAGATCATTCCATCTTACTCAGAATAAATTCCAAAGTTTTTATTATTGCTTACAGCTGCCTACATGTTCCGGGCCCTTTTCCTTTCTCTGTACTTATCTCCTACCACCCGATTACACCATGCCCTAGAGCACTGCTGTGTTGTTTTCTTGCTGTTTTTTTAATGTGCCAGGTACTCTTCCACTCCAGAGACTTTGCAATTGCTGTATCTTCTACCTGGAGAATTATCTATAACTAAATCTATGTATCTATGCATCTGTAAGATAGATAAATATCATTGCATCTCTGCATCGCTTCATTCAAGTTTATGTTCAAATACAACCTTAAAAGAGAGACCTTCCTTAACTACTCTAACTAAATAGCTCACCCCATCCATTCTCTGTCCATATCTCTTTACTTTGATTATTTAACCTATTAGTACTTCAGAGCACTAGCATGACAGAGTCTTTTTTGTTTATTGTCTCTCTCCAGCCACCATCATGTATTCCCCTTGGTAACAGAGACTTGTATTCTCTGAGAATCTTCAATGACTAGGGCATGAAATACTAGGTCCTTTAACAACATTTAAGAGTCAATGAATTTGTTATACTTCAAACTAGGGAATCTGTTCTACTGGCTTCATGTTAAAAAGTAATTTTAAAAGTTTGTCTGTTTTGAAGAAAAAAGCACCAGCTTTCCAAGCTGTCTTTCAATTTCCCAGAAACCTGCTTAAAATATAAACGGTTATATAAGCTTAAAAACAAGCCTGCTACTTTGGCAAAGAGACAACCATGGAATCTCCTGCCATTCATTTGCTGGTGCTGAATTTCATTTCTTCAAACTATTAACTCCTTTGCTGGTAAAATTATTCTCAAAGAATGCCTCTCAGAAAATGTTTACTTCTCTGGTCTATGAATATAGTCATATATACATATTACTACTTGCCTTTGAATAATATTATAATAACTCTTAAATCTTCATTAACTAGGCAGATTATTTAGTAGCACTATTTAAACTTCAGACTTCTATATATGAAATAAGTATCTTGCTCCTGTGATTTTTAAGAAATATCTTATTTGTGTGAGCATTAAGACTTAAAACAGACATTGATTCTCATCCAATGTTATGGTTCTTGAATTAAAAGTTTCAACACCCACTTGTACACTTCACTTAAGGCAAATTGTATCACTTATTACACGTGAATAAGGCAAATACATAGACATGTCCTTGTGGAATATGCATTCTGTGAAATCCCACTTTGACTTGCAAGAATTTCCCAAATCCATCCAGAAAGTGAAAGGGATAAAAGTACGTGAAGAATGCTATATTATTACACACATGGAAAAAAAGATTCCATAACACATTTGGGATTTTCTGGTACGGAAATTCAAGGAAACTCTCCTAGAAGTCTCCTTCCCCTGGATATTCTTTGTTTGTTACAGATACTCCTCTCACTTGTTGATGACACCTTCCTGGCATTCATCCCCTTGATAAAATTTTATTCTCTCTCCTTTGTTATGTATGGGAAAAGCAAACTTTGACTTCCTTTTCAGTATTCAAATATTATATTATGTTTGTCAAGTATCCATATTTAGCACCAATTATTCCCCAGGTATGTTTTAATCAAACACAGTATATCTGCTCAGTGTTATCCATCACAAGAAGAATAATACACTTGGAGTTTTCCCCCATATATATATTTCAGAATCAAACTTAATTCATATTTGGCAAATAGTGAGTGGTATATGATCCAGATTTTTTTACAGTACCTACTTCTGACAGTAGAGGAACTAAGAAAATCTTCATATAGAATATTTCCAAATAACAATATCCTTTAGACATTTTTATTTAGATACCCTTTTCTGGAATCATTTCTTGGGCATGCCACAGATTTATGTACAATGTACAAACATTAAAACAATATACTTCAATTTCTGCCTTCCTGCCCTTTGTGCTATTCTTGTCAATAATTTTACTTCTATATACCTGCAGCCAACAAATACATGAAAAAAAGCTCATCATCATTAATCATTAGAGAAATGTAAATCAAAACCACAATGAAATATAATCTAATCCCAGTCAGAATGGCTATTATTAAAAAGTAAAGAAAACAACAGATGCTGGCAAGGTTGCAGTGAAAAGGGAAGACTTATGCACTGCTGGTGGGAATTCATATTTGTTCAGCTGCTGTGAAGGACAGTGTGGAAATTTCTCAAAGAACTTAAAACAGAACAACCATTTGACTCTGCAATCCCACTATTGGGTATACACCCAAAGGAAAACAAATCATTTCATCAAAAAGGCACATGCACTTGTATGTTCACTGTAGCACTATTCACAATAGCAAAGACATGGAATCAACCTCAATGCCCATTGATGGAGGACTGGATAAAGAAAATGTAGTACATATACACCATGGAATACTACACAGCCATTAGAAATGAAATTATGTCTTTTGCAGCAACATGGATGCAGCTGGGGGCCATTATCCTAAGTGAAGTAACAGGAATAGAAAACCAAATACTGCCTGTTCTCACTTATACATGGGAGCTAAACACTGAATACACATGGACAAAAGATGGGAACAATAGACACTGGAGACTGCTTGAAAGGGGGTATAGGTTGGAAGGTTACCTATGAGGTATCATGCTCATTACCTGGGTGACGGGATCATTGTACACCAACCCTCAGCGACATGCAATTTATCCCATGTGAGAAACCTGCACATGTATCCCTGGAACCTAAAATAAAAGAAGAAGAAGAAAGCATATAATCTCTTTAAAACCTAGATTACTTAATTTCACTGAAAAATAAATAGTAATTTTACTTCCACATATTATATACCCCATTATACATTGTTACTTTTTCTTAATCAAATATAGTTTAATACAATTTTAATGAGAAATAAGTTTTTATATTTATTCACATATTTACTATTTAAGAAACTCTTCTTTCCCTTGTGCAAATATCTCTATCCAACATCCTTTTCCTTAAGCCTGAAGAACCTTCTTGAACATATCTTTTAGTGCAAGTCCTCAGTGACAAATTCTCTCAGCTTTTGTTATTCTACAAAGGTCTCATTTAACTTTCATTTTTGAAAGACACTTTTGGTAGATACAGATTCTAGATTAACTTTTTTCTCAACTCTCTAAGAATATCATCCCATCGCCTTTTGGTTTGCATTACATATAATGAGAAGTCAATTAAATTTGTTACCTTGTATGTAATATATCATTTTCCTCTGAAGACTCTCTCTTCATTACTGGGTTTTAGTAGTTAGACTATGATACGTCTAGATGTGGTTTCATTTATTCATATTCAGTTTAGGTTTCACTAAGCTTTTTGAATGTGCAGATGTATATATATCACCAAATTTAAGAAATTTTCAAACTTATTCATTCAAAATTATGTTATGCCCTACCTTCCTCACCATTAAGGACTTCAATTACATGTGTGCTAGAGAGCTTATTAATGTCCAACATGTCACTGAATCTCTGTTCATTTTTTAAATCACTTTTCTTTTAGGTTCTAGTGCTCTGATTCATCGTCACTAAACATTTTCTTCTATGGTATCTATCACGCACTTAAAACTTATTTAGTGACTTTATTGCTTCAGATATTCTATTTTTCATCTCAAGAAGTTCCATTTGCTTCTTTTATAAATAGGTTTTATTTTTTCTTCTAATTATGTTCATATTTTCTTTTAAATTATTAAACATATTTATACTAATTTAAATTCCTTTTCTTTTCATTCTATCAGTATGTAACAGCTCAGAAACTATCATCCATGGAACTTTTTTGGTACAATCCATGAGTTAAGAATGGTTTGCATATTGTGAAATATTGTTAAATACACACACACACAAATACACAGCAAAACACAACAGAGAAAAACATACAATAAAGACCATAGGCAGCCTTCAAAGCCTAAAATATTTACATTATGGCCTCTTATATAACAAAATATTGTTTCGCCCTTAATTTATGCCATTTCTGAGTTTAATTCTGCTGACTGATGTATCTACTGACTATGAGTTTATTGCCCTACTTTTTTTTTCTTTTTGAGACAGAGTCTCACTCTGTTGCCCAGGTGGAGTACAGTGTGGCACAAGCTTGGCTCACTGCAACCTCCACCTCCCCGGTTCAAGCGATTGTCCTGCCTCAGCCTCCCGAGTAGCTGGGACTACAGGCGCATGCCACCATGCCTGGCTAATTTTTGTATTTTTAGTAGAGACAGGGTTTCACCGTGTTAGCCAGGATGGTCTTGATCTCCTAACCTTGTGATCCTAACCTCAGCCTCTCAAAGTGCTGGGATTGCAGGCGTGAGCCACCACATCCGCCCTGCCCTACTTCTTTACATGTAATTTTTGATTGGATGATGAGAACTGTAATATGGCATTGTTGGTTGTGTAAATTTTGTCTTCTATAAAAGAATGTTTTATTCTAGAAAACAGTTTTTTAAATGATCATTCTGAGGATTGCTTTTCATCCTGCTAGGGCAGGTTTACAGTAACTTTTATTCTAGATTTAGTTTCGTTCTACTCCTAAGGTGTGGCTTTCTGAGGTCTCTCCTGTATGTCCCAATTACTCAAGGAGGTCTCTCTATTTCAGGTCATCAAACTGTAAATATCTCCCAAACCACTGTAATATCCAATCGTTTTTAAATTTACACTCTACATAATTCTTCCTTTACTACTAGTTGTTTTTTGCCCAACCTCATTGACACCAGTGTAGAATTCAACCAAAGATTTTGCCCAACATATGCATACCAATTTTGTATGTAGCTCATTGTTGATATAGCTTTTATTTACCCAAACTCTACAATAATAAACCACTCTCTTATCAATTTGAATAATGCATTTTCTTGAAAAACAACTATGTTGGTCAGACACGGCATATATCAGTCATTCATTTCTTTTGATGATTCATATTCCATTGTATGGCTATGCCGCATTTTATTTACCTATTCATCATTTGAAGGACATTTGGACTGTTTTCACTTCTTTGTTCCATAAATAATGTTAATATAAACATTCTTATATAAGTTTTGTGTGGACAGATGTTTTTCTCTTGGGCATATATGAAAGAGTGGCATTGCTGGGTCCTATAACTACTTTAGAAATTACCATACTGTTTTCCACAGCAGTGACACCATCTTACATTCCAACGAGCAGTGTATGAAAGTACTGACTTCTCCACAACTTTGACAACACTTATTATTGCTCTTTTTTTATCATAGCTATCCTAGTAGATGTGAAATTACAACTCATTGTGATTTTGACTTGTATTTTCCTGATGTTTAACGATGAACATCTTTTTATGTACTCACTGGTTATTCGTGTATCCCTGGAGAACTATCTATTCAGATCCTTTGCCTATTTTTTAAATGGGTTATTTATAATTTTATTATTGAATTTTATTAGTTCTTTATATAGTTGATCCCTGAAGAACAGAGGTTGTGGTGCTGACTTCCTGCACAGTCAAAAATTCTCATATAGCTTTTAACTCTTCAAAAACTTAACTACTGATGGCCCATTATTGACTGGAAGCCTTCCTGATTACATAAAAAGTTAACGCACATTTTGTATATGTATTATATATTGTATATATACAGCTTAATATAAAGTAAACTAGAGAAACAAAAATATTTAAAAATAAGAAAAAGAACATATATTTACTATTCATTAGGTGAAAATGGATTATCATAAAAGTCTTCATCCTTGTCCTCTTTACATTGAGTAGGCTGAGGAGGGGGAAAAGGATGGATTGGTCTGGCTGTCTCAGGAGTGGCAGAGGTGAAAGAAACGGAGGAGAAAGAAGCGGAGGCAGAAGAGGCAGGCACACTCAGTGTAATGTTTATTGAAAAAATTCACACATAAGTAGACCCATACAGTTTAAATCTGTGTTGTTCAAGGGTCAACTGTATATTCTGGATACAAGTCCCTTTTCAGATGTAAGATTTGTAAAAAAATTTCTCCCATACTGTGGATTATCTTTTCACTTTCTTTATGATGTCTTTTGAAGCACAGAAGATTTTAACTATGATGATGTCCAACTTATCTATTTATTTTTTGTCACTTTAGTGTCATATCTAAAAAACCATTACCTAATTACAGGTTATAAACATTTATACCTGGTTTTATCTAAGAAGTACATAGCTTTAGCTTTCAGCTAAAATAAATACATGTAGATATTTAATCCATTTTGCATTGACTTTGTATATAGCATGAGGTAGAGGTATAATTTCCTTCTTTAGCATGTGACTATCCAGTTGTCCCAACACCATTTGTTACAAAAAAAAATTCCCCATTGGAATTGCACTGGCATTCCTATATTATTATTTTTACTTTGGACTTAAAGAAATAATTTCAGGGACCCTCTCTGTCTCCAGACAACACTTAGAGAATGGCTATAGAGAATGGACATACATATATATTTGTATTTGATATAGAATGCTCTCAGAAGCCATTTAAAAAACAAGCTTCCAATGTGCCTAAATCTTCATCCTCCTGAAACAGGTTATATAGATAGAATAGCATGACCATAATTGAGCAAAATATGCTTTCTGTCCTAGTGAATGACCTGTCATTTCTCTAAAACATTTAAGCATGTCTTCATCACCTATTGCCCACCTATAGACTAGGATAATACAATATGACTCTGTAGGATCTAAATACTGTTTTATATTTGGAGTTTTTACTTACCTAAATACAGATAAACTGAAAGATACATTATGAAATCCTCAAAGTTATGAGTTAAGGTTCTTAGGATAGGTAAGACCTCTGGATTTAAATTTTGGTCTCAAAACTTGCTGTGTGGCCTTGGCATAATTTCCAAAACTTTCTAAGCCTCTGATTCCTCATTCATAAAATAAAGACAATAATATTATTTCATTATGAATATTAATAATGTTAAAAACTAAGTCTCTGTTTCCTCATTCATAAAATAAATACAATATTATTTTATTATAAATAATATCAATATACATAATAAAACCTTATATTATCAATGTAAGGTATAAAGCAGAGAATATATAAAGCACTTGGCACAGATTTGGGCATATACTAAGAATGCAATACATATCAGCTGTAATTAATCAACAAACATTCTTTGATTATATATGCTAAGCACTGTGTTTAAATACTGGAAATAATAAATAAGAATCAGTTCTTGACTCTAAAGCAAGGATTAACATATGCCATCTTCAGCAGCTTCCTATATGTTTGCTTAAAGACTCCCTTTTAGGGTATATTTTTATGCTTAGATTTACCCTCTTTGATCTTCAGATAGTCCAATGGCTTGTTTTTTTTACCTACCCTCCCAAACTACCACTTTCAAGATATAACACAAAGTGATCAAGTATCATTTACATTTTGATATGAACTTATTTATACCAAAGTATATGTTGAGGTTCATTCAGTCATTCATTTCTCCATTTATTCATGAATCCAGTAATCAGACTTTATTGAGCACTTACTAGTCCTAGACACTAAGCAAGCTGGGAATATAAATAAGATCATTTCCAAACTGTGAAAAAGAATATAGGTTAATTCATGAACATGAACTATAAGAATATAAAACAATTTTATAATTAATAATTACAAACAAATACCATAAATGTCCAAAGAAAGATAAGGGAAAATTTGTTTGAATGTATCAAATCAGCCCTGGATTATGATCTTTAAGAATTAAAAAAAAAATCAGTAAGAACCAGTGAAGAATTTCTAACTGGAGGAAACTG